CAACCCTCATTGAAATTCATTGGAAATTAATGACCTGTCATGATGATGGCGATCATGGAAAAAGTTTAGGGCTTAAATCCTGTAATAAAAATCATTTGAGTGTTATGACTTTAAAAGTAGGCTATAAATCTTTAATTCATACAAAATTATTACATTCATCACCCATATATTCTAGATAACTAATTAAAAGAAAAAAAAAATTTGTAACTGGCATAGTTTGATTTCAAAAAGAAATTTTATAGTTAAGTTTTTAATCATCAGACAGGTTTTTATTCAAATTTGCGCTTTTTCACGATTTTATATATTTTTTTATCATACTTAATTTTTTATGTTAAGTTTTTGGTGTGAATTTGAATAATTTGTTGGTTCTATAATTTTGTACCGTCAAATTTTTTAAATTTATTCCAGAAGTATTCAAACTATCTATATTATGATTATAAATATCAAAAAATCACTGAGTCAAAATTTCTTTTATTTTTACAATTCGTAATTCTCAACTGCTACATAATGACTACAAGTTGCCAGTAAAAAATTCTTGATTAATAATTCTTATTCAGTAGACCAGTGTATGAATTATTTATCTTAATTCTCAAATTATTATTGTTACTGTTATTACTTTGATGAAATTGTTGATTAGATATTTAGTAAAGACGTAGACAAGCTTATTTGTTATGTCGTTTACAGCGATAAGAAATACGATGAGATTAAGCTACTGGAGAGAGTTTAAAATAGAAATAAAAAAAAAGGACAATGAAGACGGGACGGGACGGGTTTCGTTAATCTCTAGACGAAGAAACGAGTTCGTCGTTCTGGCAATCCGTCGACCGCAGGAAGCAATTCGTAGTTTTCCAATCAGAGAATAGTAGAAAGACGCTTTCATTTTCCAGGTTGTACGCGACTCGAATTATATATCCGAAAAAACGGAAACGCTCGATCAGACGTGGTTGTCGTGGGTTAAGGGACCATTTTCGCTTATATACTTTTTCTCCATCTTTATTTTACTTATAGTTTATTCTTTTTGTTATTCTTTTATCCTCTCATCCGTTACTCTCACTTCCTTACCCATTTCCCTTTTTCCCTTGGGTACTTCACTACTCAAGATATCGCGGCTATTGTTCTCGTAATCGAGACAATCAGAGTTTTCTCCGTACCAGAGTTATTCTTGCTCAAGCACGCTGATATTTTTTTCTTCATTTTATTATTATTCTTTCAAACTATTCATCTTAAACTCTTTAAATAATCCGTCCATTTTTTAATTTTTTTGTGCTTATTCTAAAGACAACAATGCTGAAAAATGAGTTTGTCAGTTTTCCTTGAACTTGACATGATCATTGATAATAGAAGATAGATTTTAATTAGAATCATTTCATTCAATAATAATCTATTTTTTTATGAATTAATAAATCTAAATTTAAAGCATTTTTAACAATAATTCTTTAAGTTAACTAAAATACAACATTACCAAATTAAAAATTATTACATGGATAAAAGGTGCATGCCAATTAGACATATTGGCAAACATATAAAAAATTATTTGTATATATTTTCGGCAAAAAAGCTTTTTATATTTGTGATATAAATTTTTTATATGTTTGCTTATATATTTTTTCCAAAAAGATATAATTGTTTTTATAAAAATTTCGATTCAACATATATAAAAAATAATTGATACATAGGATTCATTTTCGAACTTGATATGTAATGTGAAGCACATATTGAGCGAATTACATCATCCAGGTAGTAAATTTGTCTTTCACAGTCATAACAGATTTAATAGACGATTGTACTGGTAGCATCCTGTTCACTGACAATGTCATACTCTGTAAACAGCTAAAGAGTTAACTTATTGTAGATTGTAATGGTACATTGAGCGATGTTCATCAGAGCAGAGTAAGAGAATGAATGAAACGGTTTGACCATTTTGAAACCCAGTTGTGCATATGATAACCATACATATTATTCCACGCTAAAATGATATCTCATTAAGCTCGGTTATCATGTGTCCAGTTGTCCAAGAGGTAAATGAACACGTGTAGAACTTTGTATCTATCGGTGTAACAAAATGTTTGGGTTTAGGTTTACATGCGTACGTTATCGTTACTCTCCTCGCATTTCTCATCATCATCAACGTCCGATGCAGATTGTGGTTTGAACTACATTGTGGTCTATTCAGATTCAGATACTCATACCCATGGCATATTGGGATACTATTCGAGGGATACGATTTGTAGAATTCCTCACCTAAGGTTCTGCTGCTGTCTGCTCGGTTCTGATTGTTCAACGAGATTGACATGTCACTACAAACTAGGATGTAACATCCATCTTCGATATTTATGAAATTTAGATTTTAGCTGTAAAAAAGAAGTCTGTTATAGTCATATCAGGATATGTTCACAAATTTAACTTTTTGAAATAATAAGTAAAAAAATTATATCAAAATTTGTAATTTCTTAATGAATTTTATAAAAATTTATTAGTCTACATGCTTTAATTTTAAATTAAATTTTTCTACTAATGCAAAAAATCAAGAGATCTAAGTTCACTCAAAAAAATAACTTTTTTTGTTTGTAAAATTTCACGTTTTATTAAGTAAAAAATTAATTAATTAAAAATATAAAAACTTTTACTGATTTCACAAGTTTATAGCTACTAATTACTAATAATTCATTTTAAATGTCTGATATAGACATAAATACCCATATAATTTTTTTGATCAAACTTAATGTTAAAAATCTCCGACAGGTGGCGCATGATCGCTAAATCTTCTCCTTAGAAGAGAGTTAAATCTGAAGTTTTAAATCGTTAAGCAAAAATAACTTTTGTTCTTTTCTAGGGAGCTTATCAGATATTGAAAAATATAAAAATTATGATAAATTACTTCTTTATTTTCTTTTATAGCCATAATTCGCCAAATCAGGTCATATGTGGTTATATAAAATAATTTCCATGGACAATTAAAATTTTTCATGATCACTAAAATAAATGCACGCAACGTTTTGCAATCTTCACCCATAGCCGATCAAAAGCACGCGCTCAGTATTGTGTGCTAAGATATACGGATAACGAAAAAATAGATCAGTTATCTTGCTAAATCGGGCACTTAGCTTCTTATAAATTAGCCAATAAACTTCATTAATGCCGTACCGTACATTCAACTCCACTTTAATAGGGGATGCTAGTCGAGCTAGAGTGAACCGAGAATCGAGCGTCTCTACTTACCTCGCTCAGAATATAGCAATATACCAACCTGTATAGCGCATTCACGTTTCTTCCCGGTATTGAATTTTATATCGACCTAATAATTCACGTCTTGTCAAGGCTTCATTATAGCCCACTGCTAATTTTGCGGATTATATAAATTTTGTCTCACTTCTATTTGCTTTTAAGGATATTCTATCAAATTGATTTGCATTTTTATCCCATTATAAAATTGAGATGAAATGTATGTGGCATCAAACTATTCGTAACGTGATTGGTCGAATATATCATAAGCATGAAAATATATGTTAACTCTATAGTCAGGCGCGCGCTTGCGCGTGAAAATTAAATTCTAGTACTATTAAATTTACGATTGAAGAAATAACATCAATCAAATTAGAATTATTTGTTTGCATTCAAGGAATTCTAAATTGAATCGATCTCTTTTCAAGTCTAAATTTATTGAATTTTCTATCTGTTACAGTACTTGAAACGAAGAGTGCTCGCTAATTATTTAGCATCAGAGCTTCAACTATTTTCGACCATCACACATTGGAGAATTAAGTTTTCAACAAATGTAAGTTTTTTGAATTTTCATTATTTAAAAAATTATTTTTTCAATTTATATAATTGACATTAAAAAAAATTTTTTTTCCTTAAATAATTTAATTCCTGATAAAGATTAAGATATTTTTGCGAAAACTACGTTGATTAATTCTAAAATTGATTGATAAGTAAATAAATAAAAAATTTTTAAACTTCATTATTTTCAAACAAATTAAAAAAGAAATATACTTTTCCAAAATAACCATAAATTTCCATAAAAAAAATTAATCTCCAAAAAAATCTGAATTTCATGAAAAAGTAATAACGTTAATTAATTTCAAAGCGCTACCATTGTCTTAAAATATTCTTCGGCCAGCTGACTCCTCTAAAATAACAATTTTAATAATATTGTTCTTCATTAATATTTAACAAATTTTTATTTTCTTTATTCTAATAACAATTCTTTTTTTTTTCTTTAATATTGTCATAAGACAACATTTCTTCACTTACAATATTTATTATTTTGACAATAAAATTTAGTATTGCTCCACTAAAAATTGATGGTATTTTGCTCACAACTATATTTACATTTTTGATCGCTGTTGAAATTAATAAAAAATAAAACAATCAGCTACGCAATAAACATTTATTATCATTATTTTTACTGTATTAACTAGTTGATGATAATTATAATGAATTTCAATACTTGATTAAATTATACAATATTATGACGTAGCGTATTATTCTAACTAACCTCGGCATAGCTCTAAGCGAGATACTGATACGCTAATTAATATGACACTTTTTATTTTGACTAGAACAATATTTTTTTATCACAGTCTGATTATCTAATCCGTAAAATAATTATTTATTCATGAATCATTTATGATAAACGATTCCGGTCTCGGTCTTTTATCCAATTATAATCGTTATTATTTGATGACGCGTAATCACTCTCCGTTTGACTTTCCTCGAGGCTATAAACAGTGTCAAGGCCACCAACCAGCTGAATAACGGATAAATGAAACTTTCCGAGGAGTTTACCTACTAACATACGTACAAAATTTGTACATAAAAAATAAAATAATTATCAAATTATTTCAAGCATTGTATTATCAAAAATTTAATGTCCGATAATAATAGTAAATAATTACCACAATTAGAAACGTGAATAACTGATAACGCATCTACCTCATGACATGACTAACTACTGTGCTTTTATTAGTTTATCATTATTGTTATTATTATTATAACGTATGACTTGCAACTTGTAATTCTAGAATTATATCATAAGCTTGTCAGATTCCGTGGCAGAATGTCAAGCGATAAACGTGTGCTCTTCTTGACATTAGTCTCCATTTTTTTCAACTTATCGAACGCTGAAAGTTTAATTGATCATGGATCTAACTCAAAAAACGGAAGCGTTCATTGTTTTTCGAAATTCGGGCGTGGACTTGAGTGGTTTCTCGGTTCAAAAATAAATCCAAATCTTGTGGAGGTTAAATTTTACTTAACATCCCGCGACAATCCTATTCGCACTGAAGTCGCTTTAGGAAATAATTTCCAGTTGGATGGAACTGGATTTAAAATAGAACGTCGAACTGTTATGATTGTGCATGGGTTCAAGTCAAGTGGTAAAAAAAATTGGGTCTATAACATGGAAACCGCTTTTCGGTTGTGGGTAAGTAAATTTACACTAAATTTATTAACTAAATTTACTAATTAACTAAATTTTGATGAAATTATTTAATAAAGATGGCGAACGACTGAAAATTTTTTTTAATAATTTTTGAATATATAAACAAATTAAAATCTTGATGTTAGAACTAACTACACAGAAGACATGCGTAAGCAATTTGATTAAAAATCACAATTTTTTTGTTTGTTTGTATTATCCTATCAATGCTCGTTAACTGTGCTGTAAATGATCATTGATTATAATTAGAAACTACTACATAAGTAATTAATAAATTACTACATTAATTAATTAACATAAGGTCAAAATTAAACTTTAAATTATTTGTTGTATTTTGAAGAGTTAAAGAAACTTCATTCAATTTTTTAATTGAACAAAATTCTGTAAAAGGATTGACAGTAAATTTTTAAATTATGATAGCTGTATTTAAAAAAATTTTCTTGCTCTCCTAGCCGAAAGTACGCTCATCCTGGACGCACTTTACTCCAGGAAGAGCAACATTTATGGCCGGCTCAGCCGGCTCTCTACGCATGCGCGCTACGCATATTTTCTGGCCGGCAGCACAGAGCCTCGCTTTCTTTCGTACTTTCGTGGTGCGACCGGCCTATACAGCGAGTTTCGACTGTATATAACAGTCACAACATCGTCTGTATGTAACATGTCAACACATAAACTAACCAAAAAGTGTCAAATAAATAAAAATAATTTCTTATTAGATTATTGTTAATGAACTATTTAATAATATAATACTGCACAAATAATTTATATAAAAATTTTAGAAAATAAAATATAAAAGTTTTGTAGATTTTATTTGCTTTCTTTTATATTTTGACAGCTATAGTAAAGTGATTTGTTTATAAAACATGCATGTACTCTACAAGCTTCTAATAATTAAATTTCAATCTTTCTTAGCCGTCTAATTAAAAACTAATTTTTAATCAACTTAAAAAAATTAATTCTGTTATTAAATCGAGTTTAAATATTTGTGACAAGTTCTGTGCATGTTATCTCTCTTAATCAGAGCGTTTGTTAGTAAACTTTAAAATAACTTATTTTTTTTTATTTATTAATTTTTACTTTTTTATTATGCCCGCCCCGACCAGTAAAACCTCGGCTTCGCCTCGGCTTTACAAAAGTCGGGCGGCGCCCCCCTCGCCCCCGGCAAAACCTCGGCTTCGCCTCGGTTTTGCAAAACCCCTTCCCCGGGGTTGCGTACTTTCGGCTGGAGAGCAAGAAAAATAGTATACAACCCATGACCAGAATGTTGGATGCCCTGACGTATGTGATATGATGGCCGAGGCGTAGCCGAGGCTATCATATCACATACGCCAGGAAATCCAACTTTCTGGCCTTGGGTCGTAATATACTATTTAATTTAATATTTATTAGAGTTTCATTTTTTCAGAAGTTCTGCAATTTTATTTAGAGTCAAAAAATTTTAAAATCGCTTTTCAGTGTTGACCCTGTTTATGATGTTAATGTAAAAATTTTTACCTTTAGGGCGATGTGAATATTGTAATTGTAGACTGGGGCGAACATGCAAATACAGTCAATTATTACAAAGCTGCCGAGCACGTGATGCCTGTAGGTCGTAATATAGTCAAGTGAGTAAATTATAAAATGTAATCTAAAAGAAATATCAATAGTCGGAATAATGCATCAACAAAATTATTCCAATTTTCCATATTTTTGTAGCTTCTAATCGCTTAATTTTTTAAATCATTGATTTATATTCAGACAACGTTGCAATTATGTACTGCCTTACAATTACTCAAAATTAAAAATTTTACGTCTTTAAAATCGTTTTAATTTCTCAAATATATTTCTTGATTTTTTTTTTTCGATCACTAAAAATTTCAATCATCAAAAATATTTTAGGTTTTTGTCTCACATCATTAATGCAACAAGTGATTCCACACAAGAAAAATTGGATGATTTGAATTGGGGTCCGATACATATGGTAGGACACAGTCTCGGCGCCCATATATGTGGCATAGCCGCGGATGAATTAAAAAAAAAATCTTTACCTTGGAAAGTTTTTCGTATAACAGGTTTGGATCCCGCAAGGCCGTGTTTTTTGAGAAGTAACCTTTCACTAACAAAAAACGACGCTGATTTTGTTGATATAATTCACACACACGGAAAGTCTTCTTCTAAATTTTCATTCGGGATGCAGGAGCCCATCGGTAGCTATAACAAATATTTTTTTAATAAAAATAGCACGGAGTCATTTTTGTTTATTTATATCGTTAGGTCACGTTGACTTTTACCCGAACGGAGGGAAAAAGCAACCTTCATGCAGTAGAACCAAAAAGCCCTGGTATGCGAGTTTATTTAATCCAAAAAAATGTACGTATTCACTTAAAATTATTTTTAAACACTGAATTCTACGGTCTTGTATTTATAAACATAAAACTCAACGGCAGTTTATTTATTAAACATTTAAATGTTTTTTTTTCTAGGGATAAAACAAAAAACATGCAGCCACGGTTTGTCACACATGTATTTCACAGAGTCGCTAATTGCCGCGGCGTACAATGCGGGAAAATTTTGGTCTCACGAGTGGGACAGATCTGCTCAGAGAGCTATTGAAATTATTCATGAGACTTGCGACCAAAATAATTGCATTGAAATGGGTATCAACGCTGAAAACTATCGAAATAATGATAATCCAGTGCTCGGGACCTTTTTTGTTATCACTGCTAGCTCTCCGCCCTATTACAGTAAACAATATTCAATAGATATTAAAATAATACTTTTTTTGTATTTGATTTTTTAATGGCTCAATTTTTTCAGATGTTACCGCGGATGATCTCGACAATTTAGAGGCTCAAATTGTCGCAGGTTCTGCTGTAAAGTAAAGTTAGGTGTGTAGATTAATGAATTATTGTAAATAAATTATGGAACTCGTGTTTTTTTATTTTAAGATAAGAAATAAATTATTTATTTCCCATTTTTTATAAAAATATTTTAGTTTATTATGTTTTAAAAATTTTTTCAAAGAATCAACATAATAAAAAATTTTTTAAGGTTTTAATATAAAATATCAAAAATTGAATTTTTTTATTTAATCTTTTCTCTTTTTATTTTATTATTATTAGATTTAAATTTTATGATACTGACATTAAAAGATATCTGTCAATTTTTTGGATCCTTATAATTATTAAATTATGAAAAAATTTCATATTTAGAAATTTAAAAAGATAACAAGTGTAAATTTTTTAAAAATATTTTTTTTTAAATAAAATTGTAGTAAAAATACAAATAATTGATAAATATCTGCTGATTTCAGTATCATTAAATTTTTACATGTTGTAAATATTTAAATTAAAAATTTTTAGTTAAAAATGAATTAAGCTAGATATATCTTGATTGCCTGCCCATCAATATGGTCTAATTTATTTTTTAAATTAACTAGTAATTTTTTTTAAGTAAAAATAAAGCTTAGATCAAATTATAAAACAATATTAAAATTTATAAATAATTATCGTAACAAATTTATATCACGACCTTCATATTAACCTACTGAGAATTTAGTCTTTTCAAAGGAAATAGGAAATAGGATGTGGAAATTTTTTTACCGGATAGACTTTTTACAATAAAGACTTTTTTTCAATATTTGCATATAAATAAAATTATTATAAATTATAACTAACGAAAATTGAGCTTATCAGTATGATCATATATTCAGTTTTTTATTTGATAACTATTGAAACTTTTCCTTTCCGTGACATTACTTACAATATTAAAGCGACAAATGACGTACAAAAAAAATTTGAGAGAAAATGATAGTTTGTACGACAATTTCACAGAAAATCCGCGGCTATTTATTACGTTCGATACGAAACAGTTGCTTTCCAGGTTTTTACCATTCTCAGGAAAACCAGGCAACTACGAAGAAAGGCTACAAACCCGATTATTTATCGTACAAGTTTTTCCTCAAATGACAACAGGACTTATGTTTGTACTTGTAGAGTGCTAGTGAAGTTTTGTGTGCTGTGTACTATGGTCTATGTATACATAGATATATAAATATATAAAGTAAAAGGGGTGTCGCATTGTAACCCACCACAACAAAACAGGAATAAACGCGGTATAAAGTTATTATAAGCACAATGAATGAGCACAAACGTGATAATAACTCGGTTTGTTAGTACGGTTGCAATACAGTTGACCCTCATTGTTTTTATCACTGAGAATAATGACCCAGGCACGTTTCACTAAAATTTCTACTAGTAAAAAGTAAAGTAAGATAGACACTTCTTTTTTTCGTATCGCGCTTTGCGTTACAAATAAAAAGTTACCATCCATCCGGGGAAAAAATTTTTTTATTCATTAGAAATTTTACATGAAATTCAAATTTTGGGAGAATTATAACTTTTGTTATAAATTTGGTATTAAATCACTCTAATTTTCTAACAATAATTTAGAAAAAAACAATGAGCCGAATTTAATGAATTTTTCTTTTATATCAAATGCGGATTTTAGATTGAATGAAAATTTTTAATATTTCAGTAATTAAATTGGATTTAATAATAATTTTTATTATGTTGATTCAAAATTTAACTTGAATCATTTTCATTAAAAAATCTCATAAATATTGTGTCTTAACAGATATTTATTAATAAAAAAATTTTTATAATCTAAAATTTGCATTTGACGTAAAAAAAAAGTTTCATGAAATTCGATTTACTGCATTTTTTTACATCTTTATAAGAAAATTACAATGACTTAATGTCAAAATTATCGTCAAAATATTCATGATAAATTAATATTTTTTTTGCAGTCATATATTTTTAAAATACACTCTTATTATTATTATATTTAAAGCAAACAGATGCTTTCTTTGATATTTATATTTACCTATTTTTATGTACATTCAGTGCAGAAACACTGACAGTAATTCACAATTTAGTTGACAAAAAATTTTTTATGTTGTCAAATAAGTGTGTTTACGCTTGCGTGTTTATCTTAGCAAACATCCGGGTGATTCTTTATTTTCGCCACTGATTATGCCGCGTTGCGCAATAAATCGTTTGGTGAAGAAGACAAAGAGGAAAACAAGGAGAGTGTTCCAAATGTAAGGAATCTTACATTACGAAAGTTCCTTTTTTGGCTTGATTCCAAGAAAATGCCTGACAGTAATAACTGCTGAATTACTTTTTTTTGGTTTTATAAATAATTTAAGAGGTAAACACTAGTTTTGAATTTTTTAGTCAAAATTTCATTTACAATTATGGAATTTTATTTCAAAGTGTCATTACGCTAAAAAATGATGTTTCACTCAGCCCAGCTCATTTTTTTGCTGTCTGCTGATAAACTTTGCGGAATTCTCATTTCATATTAGACATACTAGGAATTTAAATTGCGCGCATACGCGCGCGCTCTAATTCTGAACGTTATTTCGATACTAAGCTAACTTCATTCTACCATCAATTTTAGTATATAGGACTAGAAATTTGAATAGCGCGCTACGCGCGCGCCTTAATCTTAACCAATAAGGAATCAGGGTCCATGTTTTCGATACTAAGCTAACTTCATTCTACCATCAATTTTAGTAGTATATATAGGATATAAGACATAAAAGAGATTAAATGTATGTCAAACATTAATCATAGCAAGACAAACCCTGAAAATTTACCCGGAATTCGAAGGAGATAAAATGTTTATCGGACACCAATAAATTAATCATTCTTTCAATAGAACTTTTTGTCTTTTTTAGACTATAAAAAATCGAAAGGGAATTAGAATTTTCATCCAAAAAATATCCAAGTACTTTGTACATTATAATAAATTTTAATAAGCTGAAAAAAAAAAATTTAGAAGTAAAATCTTTAGAAATCTTTAAAAAATTTCAAACTTAAAAATTTAATATTTAAAATTAAATTCATAAAAATGTTATTGCAAACTTTTTTTTTTTTTTCACGAAGCGCCTTGCAGGATAAAATGTAATTTTTGTATATTTTTCCGTGCATAATACCCAAAAAATTTTATTAAAAAAAATAATGGTACATTTTAAAGTCGAAAAAGATTAAATTATACATTAAAAATTCCTATTTAAAATTCTCAATGTTCATTTCTTATTTACGACATAATCGATAGCTTTTTTGTAGACCATAAAATGCGTTGCAATAAATGTTGAACGTTATTCACAGAAAAATAAAACGTATTGGGTTTACGAGCGATTTGCAGAATCCCATTATAAGGCTCGATCAAGTGCCATCAACTTTTATAACGTCGCACATAAATAGAATTTCAAATGATTACTTGTCAATTCTAAATCTCGTTCCTTTCTGAATAGAAGAAACCAAAAGAATAGATAAAAATAAAATTATCATACACGCAATAAAACTTTCATTATAAATAACAAAATAACGCTCTTAGTACAAAAACGTCTTTTTAAAAAAATATAAACGTATATATTTATAATTTAAAAAAAAGGTGAAATAAAAAATCAGTCAAGTGTATTCTAGAGTTTTCTTGTCAACCGTGTACGTGTATAGTGAAAAAGTCTACGAAAACAGGCGATCCATTATTCATATGTTTGTGGCACTTTTCCGTACTTTATATTTTTATTTCGTAAGCGACTTGAGTGTTTTGATGAGGAAATTCAAACAATCATAATAGTAGAAAAATAATTTATTTATTATTTTAAAGATTAATTTTTTTCTGTTAAATTTTAAAAGCATTTGAGAAAATATTAAATTTCCAAACTCAGCCTTGGAATTACGTTTGATGTTTGTTCGGATTTACAACATTCGTCTAATGACACTTGCGTGTTCATTTTACGGCACAAGTGTTTATTTGCACACAGACTTATGATGAGTAATGACTAATTTGAGCGAGCATACGACATCTAGTCGCTAATATATAAATATTTACGTTAATTTGATAAACTCTACACATGAGTGAATTCACTACGGAACTCAGTGAAGTGTTTTGATTGAATGAGTTTCATCTTGTTTTATTTACTTTAATTAATTAACTTGACTTTCATGAAATTAACATAAATCAATAATATACGTACATATTATAGCAAATTTAATGAATGATTATAATTTGTGATTATGATCAATGATAGTTAGTAACCTGCAGTCACTATATGACTCTCGAGAATTACGATTTGTGAATGAAAAATTTTTTGATTAATAATTTTTAGATATTTTTTATCATGATACAGATAGTTAATAATGTCAATAATTAAGAAATTACCTTGTATCTTGTGAGCTATTGATATTTTTAAAGATATAAGCTCATCCCAATGTTACACTCATCAAGACCTTTCATTTGAGTACCCACATCAATTTTTCATATATTTTATATATTTATATATTTGTATATATGAAAAATATATAAAAAATGCCATGTGGGTACTTAAATGAAAGGTCTCGATCAGTGTAACATCGGGATGAGCTTATATCTTTAAAAATGTCAATAATTCACAAAATATCTGTTAAATTGCAGAGTAATAAATTCTTAACTATTGACGATTTTAAAGATATAAGCTCATCCCGATGTTACACTCATCAAAACCTTTCATTTGAGTACCCACATCAATTTTTCATATATTTTATATATTTATATATTTCACAAATTCCATGTATATAAAATATATAAAAATTGCTATGTGGGTACTTAAATGAAAAGTCTCGATCAGTGTAACATCGGGATGAGCTTATATCTTTAAAAATGTCAATAATTAAGAAATTACCTTGTATCTTGTGAGCTATTGATATTTTTAAAGATATAAGCTTATCCCGATGTTACACTCATCAAGACCTTTTATTTAAATACCCACATCATTTTTTCATATATTTATATATATTAAATATATGTATATATGAAAAATATATCAAAAATG